TAAAATACACGCAGCATAAAGCGCCTCATGTCATGGCGAATTACGCACTGCGCCGGGTGTGCGTTACCATGGTTTTTGAATTCGCTGTTACGGAAAAGCTATTTGCGTTATCAGATTAGATATAGTATCAGTTTACAGGTATTGTTTTCCGATTAAGTGTGATATATAACAATAAGTGACAGGATGAAAATTCTTCAATTGCCAGTCACAGTCCGGTTTATTTTTGATCATCCCTCGTATATACGTCGGATGTACTAAAATGAAAGTACTACAACTAACGATAGCTTCTTCATGGGAATTATTAACATATTAAACTAGAAGTGATTGTTGCGTCCCTTGGATGTTAAAATAGATTTAGCACTGTACATAAACATGTACGCGAAAAACTTACGTTAGTTGAAAACTTCAATTGTTCAAATATTTGTGTTTGAAAGTTCCTATCGGGAAGTATGCGAAAATGGCCGCCATTTTTAAGATCTTAAGCCTACTTACGACTTGTCTGAAGCAGCCTTAAAGTAACGACGTTAATCTACGACGTCCTAGCTGCGACCATGTTGATAAAACGCGACTTAGACGTAAGATCGGTCGTACGACCAAATCTTAGCTACGACCGGGCGTACGATCGTTGATAAAACGGCACCCTGATCTTGTTTATGGACACTTATGCTATGCATGCAAAACTTACAAAGGTAAAATTAAAGAATAATTTGGGAATATGCTAATATAGTAGTAGTAGCATATGTAGTAGTTCTTGTTGTTCTAGATAATTATTGTTAGTATTATGATAATCATAATTATCATTTATTCATTTATTTATTTTTTACTGTTGTTGTTGTTGTTTTGTTTGGGTTTCTTATGTTGTTTTTTTTTAATTCATTTTTTGCTTTTTTATGAAGTACATAGTAAAAAGCAGAATTTAAGACATACAAGTCTTGTTGTTTGAGTTTGTGTGTTTTTTGTGTTTGTTTGTTTTTTTTGTTTTTTTTTGGACGGGAGGGGGTGGTGTTGTTTTCATGCCACCGCAGCATCTGCGATGCGGTGGTATATAGCGATTCACCTGTGTGTATGTGTGTGTGTGTGTGTTTGTGTGTTATATAGATTATATAGTGAACTTAAAAAATCTTCTTGTGAAAAACCACTAGTCCAATTTCATGCAAACTTGGCAGGATTGATCCTTGGGTAAAGGGCTTCCAAAGTTGTTCAAAGAATTTCATTCCATGCAGAAATCTGGTTGCCATGGCAACCAAAAGGAATTATAAGAATAGTTAAAACAATCTTCTTGTAAAGACCCAAAAGGCCTAGAGCTTAGATATTTCGCATATAGCATTGTCTGGTAGATCTCTACCAAGATTGTTTAAATATAGCCCTGGCCCCGTGTTCACAAAGATTTGAGGATCAGGATCAAGATCAGGATCAAATCTAAAAACTCAAATAATCTCCATTATATATTCTCACAGATTAAATGTTTAATATTAACATGATAAAACTGGACTTGAAATAGCATGTTTTTGTTATTTTAGAATAAATTTATCGTTATTTTTGCAAGATATGGGCATTTTACAGTTGATCCAAATATTGATCTTGATCCTAAAAATGATCCTTATTTTGATTTGATTATTTTTGTATTTGTTTCGATATTTGTCTATTTTATCCCAAAATAGGGTTGTTTCTTTGCAAATCAGCAAAATTTTACATTATCTTTATGTACCATTCAATTCTAGCAAAATACGATCAATATTAGTTATATGAAACAAAGAAAATAAAATCAGAATCACTTGATCCTGATCCTGATCTTTTCTTTGTGAACATGGGGCTTGGGGTCAAAATCGCTCCCGCCCCGGTGGTCATTGATTTTCACTATATGTACATATAGTAAAAACTTAAAATACCTTCTTCTAAAGACCCAAAAGGCCTAGAGCTTAGATATTTTGCAAAAGGCATTGTCTGGTAGACCTCTACCAAGATTGTTCAAATTATAGCCCTGGGGTCAAAATCGGCCCCGCCAGGGGGTCATTGATTTTCACTATATGTACATATAGTAAAAACTTAAAATACCTTCTTGTAAAGACACAAAAAGCCTAGAGCTTACATATTTTGCATAAGGCATTTTCTGGTAGACCTCTTCCAAGATTGTTCAAATTATAGCCCTGGGGTCAAAATCGGCCCCGCCAAGGGGTCATTGATTTTCACTATATGTACATATTGTAAAAACTTAAAATACCTTCTTGTAAAGACACAAAAAGCCTAGAGCTTACATATTTTGCATAAGGCATTTTCTGGTAAACCTCTTCCAAGATTGTTCAAATTATAGCCCTGGGGTCAAAATCGGTCCCGCCCCGGGGGTCATTGGTTTTCATTATATCTACATATAGTAAAAACTTAAAATACCTTCTTGTAAAGACCAAAAAGGCCTAGAGCTTACATATTTTGCAAAAGGCATTGTCTGCTTGACCGCTACCCAGATGTTCAAATAATAGCCCTGGGGTCAAAATCAGCCCCGCCCCGGGGGTCAATGGTTTTCCTTATATGTATATAGTAAAAACTTTAAAAAAATCATCTAGCAATAGACAAATGCTAGAGGTTAGAAATTTTGTATGAAACAGTATGTAGTGAACCTCTAGCAAGATTGTTCAAATTACAGCCCTGGGGTCAAAATTGCCCCCGCCCCGGGGGTAATTGATTTTCAATATATACATAAAGTAAAAAATCAAAAAAATCTTATTGTCTGAAGGTACAAGGCTTAGAGCTTTAACATTTGTTAAATGATATCATCTATAGGTACTCTACCAAAGTTGTGCAAATTTTGCCTCTAGTTTCAAACTTAGCCCCGCCCTGGGGGCCATATGTTTTCTTATATGTATATAGTAACAAATTAAAAAATCATTTTCTCTAAATTTACAAAGGCTAGAGTTAAGATATTTTGCATGAAACATTGTGTAGTGAACCTCTAGCAAGATTATACAAATTATAGCCCTGGGGTCAAAATTGGCACCTCCCCCAGGGGTCATTGATTTTCACTATGTATATATAGTAAAAAATGAAAAAAAAATATTGTATGAAGGTACAAGGCTAAGAGCTTTGATATTTGGTATATAATATCATCTATGGGTCCTCTACTAAAGTTGTTTCAATTATGCCCCTAGTGTTAAAATTGCCCTGCCCCAGAGGCGATAGTTTTCCTTATATGTATAAAGTAAAAACTTGTAAAATCTTCTTCTCTGAATTGACAAAGGCTAGAGGTTAAATATATAGCATGATACTTTGCGATGTGAACCTCTACAAAGATTGTTCAAATTATAGCCATAGGGTCGAACTTGGTTCCGCCCCGGGGGTCATTGATTTTCATTATGTACATATAGTAAAAAAAAAATATTTTTGTCTGAAGGTACAAGGCATAGAGCTTTGATGTTTGCTTTATAATATCATCTATAGGTCCTCTAACAAAGTTGTTCAAATTTTTCCCCTGGTGTCAAAATTGGCCCTGCCCGGGGGCAGTGATTCTCATTATGTACACATATTAAAAACAGAAAATAAAACAAATGTTTTCTGAATGGGAGAAAGCTACAGCTTAGATATTTGACTTGAAATGTTGTTTGGTGGACCTGTATCAAGATTGTTTTTAATTAAACCCTTGTGTCAAAATTTTGTCTTGCCCAAGGGGACAGTGGCCTACTGTCTTGTCCTTTGATGTACAGCAATGAAATTTTGACCATGTGCACAGTTTTAGTTGTAAAATTGAACTTTGATATCAGGTGACCTAGATTTTGATGATGTGACCTACTTTCTTGTCCTTTGATGTACAGCTTTGAAATTTGAACCATGTGCACAGATTAAGATGTAAAGTGAACTTTGATATCAGCTGACCTAGATTTTGACAAAGTGACTTACTGTGTTGTCGTTTGATGTAGTCATGAAATTTAGGCTGTGTGAAATATGACCTTCACAACCAAATTCACTAGACTCAAGTGCATTGGTTTATTCCTACTCTGATCTTTTATTGGATTAACAATAGATTTAACCACTAATCTGATAATAAGAATTAGATAGGTCAGGGATCTATGCATTATGACAATCTAAAATTGTATAGAAACAAAATAAATCTGTTCCTACGTAGTGTTGTATTAATGCGGTGGCATAGCATTTTTCTCAAATGCAATCTTGTTTTTATTCTTTGTTGTTTTTTTTGACCTTGCACCCACAATAAGGGTTATGTTTCTAATACATTAAATATCAGACACCGTCTAATCATAAGATTGTAGATTTCCAAATTTAATTGTCTGAGCTACTTACAACAGGAGAATTCAATATAATTCCTTGTACTAAGAATGAGTAAAGATTTATGTTCCATTTCTTTAGACCTTTACAATGGGTATTATACATCTGTGTATAAATTTTTGTTTAATCATCGTAATAATTTTATGATTAATACAGAACCAGATGTTTCATTAATTGTCATCAGTGCTACAGACTAAAAGTAAAAAGTTCATAGTGGTGTTTCCTCTTTTTAATGTACAACAGCAAATATTTACCTTTATTGTAAAAGTCGGTATGATGTATTCAAACATTTATCACAAAAGTCGTAAAACACTCATATTTATGGTATACTATCAAACATATTATTTTGTTTTTACTGTCAGTAAATGATAAAAGTAACAAAGGCTGTCAAAAATAAATCAAGCCAAACGATTGAACAATGTAGGAATATTGGAGTTCCAGCATTTTCATTTCCCTTTTTGTTCGACTTCTCTGTTGCTGGTTCTGTAGGTTCTAAAGGTTAGTTGCAATGAGGTTTCGTATGTGTTTCTGGTTGTGCACATTCTTGTTGTTTCTTAAGGTCATCATATGTTCCGAGCACAATCAAGGAAACCGCTTCAAACTTTCTGGGATCTGCGAAGAATTAAAACATAATATTCTAATTTACTGATGAATGTCTGTTCATTTAGTCAGTATAGCTAATTTGCTCAGATTTACTCGTGTTCTAAAAACCAAATCGCCGTTAAAACATTAATGGCATTAAATGATAAGGTATGACGATTAAGCGTATAAATTATTTCTTTAGCTAAACTTGCCTATTTCTTGAGAAAGCTGAATAACAACTCTCCATATGCCAATAGGACATTCGCCCCAAAAGTGGACACTGGTTAGATTTCTATCAGACTGATCTGTACTGAATGTTGGGTCATCACTGTTATCAACAATGATTGAATGTGTTCCGCCTGGAGAAATTATTTTTAACATTAAAGATCGTTGAGTTATAATGTAGTAGTTCATAAATAAAATGACATGTTCTACTTTAAGGACTTGTAGACCGCATCTATTTTCGTCCATTTTAAAAGATATTGTATACGTCATTGCTTCACTGAAATGTAGGAAACCCATATTAGAAATAAATTTTACTACTAAAGAAATAGAATAAATAAGTATAAAGTTTATTAACCAATCATTGGTAATGGTTCATGACATAATCGCAGATCAACAGAAAGAATCAATAAAAAAAAAAAAAACAATCTGATAAATGATAGAAAACTTTAAAGGCTCAAAATCAAACTAACATGATGTCAAGTTTTCTCGGTGTTTTGCTGTTAAGATATCCATCCGTAGACCTACATAACAGCGGAATGTGTGGGGGCATCCATTTCTAGTTATCCATTTTAAGTTATATAATGGAAATGAGTTCTTAAAACACTTCCCTTGTTTATAAATTTCAGTAAATAACGACAACAGAATATCTGTTATGATAATCATAAAGCTCACTTATTCTAAAAAGATGAATTACTTTAACTGAGAACCAATTGTTTATCTATTTATTTTTTTCCATTTGTTTCATATTCCGTACATATTAATATAAGCATTCAAAATTACATCAATATAAGCAGATCTGCTATAATTAAATCAACATTCATTTACCATCTTTTCTAAATTCCTAAATGAAAGAAAAAGAAATATCACACATGCAAACACATTTTTCTACTTGAATAAACGGACAAAAATGTAGACAGGCAACAGAAACAAAACTCTAAACGTTGACAAACACTAAAACAAATTCAAAACGAAACATAGTGGCAGATGAACTAGTTTCATAAAATGTTTTAGATTTATAGTTCTGAATCAGATATTTTAATGGGTTGTGTCATTAGTCTTATTTTTAAGAATTATAATTTACAGTTAAGTCCATTTTTATTTGTGTGAAATATGATTAACAAAAAAGGCGGCGCTCAATGAAAGCAACCACCACACGACTCAGCAGCAAGGACCAGCGGCAATGAGTCAACTTTGTCATTTGCACCATAATAATTTCTCATGTCAAACGTATCACAATAAACTGTGAAATGATTTTGTTATATTCAGCAAATAGTGATCAAACATTACAAATGAAATTTTCTTGCTTAGGAAAAATATATTTAGAATATCACAAAATACGTAATAATGAGCGATGGTAAATTGTGAAGCAAAATCAAAGATCAGTTATTACAACTACGGAAGAACATTATAACAGGACGTCAATCGCTAAATCAAAAAGGTTTTGTTATATTGAAGATTAGTTATCATACCTGAATATTATTTATTTAAAAGAAACGTATATTACTGAATAAAATATCATAAAGAAAAATCGGGTTAAAATTTAATTGAATCTATGAAATCTGAAAATGTTCAATTATGTATTAATCTTTTATTATCTTCGCACAATGAATGAAGTATGATAATCAGGTCTGTTGGCTTAACGAACTTTTTTCCATACTAAAGAAACATTTGTAATATGAAATGTACATACACGTATTATAGGTAAATTTAAACTACATACCTATCATATTGTAAATTGTTGTGAGTATTCCTGTCTTTACTTACATCCCCAAGCCTGTGTAATGTGTTACTGTGTAGGTTTTCAACTAATGTCCAAGATTTGGAAAGGTTAACCATTTTACCAGCGTCAATTAATCCAAATCCGATTATAGAATTAACTAAGAATTGAAAATGAAGTACAAAGCAGTTTGTTTTTTTGAAACAATCGTTATCATTAATTCATCTCATATAATGTGTCAACAAGAATAAAAAACTACGTTCACGTAAGCTTGATTATTGTCAAATATTCAGATTTTGAAATGTGTAATTTTTTTTAGGTATAATATTAATAGGGTAACATATAATATCAATTTACAGTTAATGTCGGAAATTATTTATATTAAACAAATTATGTAATGTACTAATGCCGATAAAACTTAATCTAATTAAACGTCAAAACGTCAATTCTTACATGCAACATGAATAAAAAAATGGTTTTTACATAACTTTCCTGCTGCGTTCCTCTCAAATTTAACTGATTTTCCGAGCTCTTTTGAAGTTGATGATTCAACCAGTAAATGCTGAATGTCTCGCATCGTAAGAACTGGCCTACGTACAAAAATATTTTAAAACCAGCTCCAAGCGGAAGATGTCGTAAATGATTTGTATTATATTTTCAAAGACACTTTGCATAGAAAAACATCGGGGAATGGGATATTGCTAAGGTACAATGGAAACTAAATAAAAGTAGTTGACTATCGTGGACTCGATGTTATTGAGTTTGTTCACGTAGATGTAACATCTTTCACTCTCCTCAATCCTCAACACAAAAACTTTTATATTGCAATAAATGGACACAACTGAATTTGGAATTACCAAAATAATTTTCATATTAGATAATTACGTCATCATTTTATAAAGCATTAAAGCAGCCAAGAAATAAATGAGGCCCCTTTCAATTTAATTCTTTTTAGGTTCGTTTATTATTTTCTCCTTTATGGCACATGCATTATTTCAGTTGCTTTTCATAGAATGGTTTTAACGTATTGCTTAAAGAATCCATGATTACATCTGTGGATATTTCTTGTTATATTTTTAATTCTGCTCAAGCCGGTGTTTTTGGCCTCGGGAGATGCTTGCAGTTTCCAATATCGTCAATAAACCACCCATGTGAAACATGGGTAACATTATTTTATTTTGACGTTTTGGACATTCTAAGGGTTGTCTTTTCCCTAATCAAAGAGTTAAAGCTCACGCGAAAAACCTCTTGCTGCAATGCTATAAATAATAAGAAACCAACCGAGGTTTACATGTGAATTATATGAACTCTCAAATTCCTTTTCATTCAGCCGTGCCCGTTGTTTTCTCGTTTTGGGCACTTGGACTTTCTTATTTGGGAACCATCAGCCGCTTTTAGTGGAATGGCTCTAACATGTCATTTAAGGTTGGGTCCATGAAATAGATAAATACAAAATCCCTAAAGAAAGCCCAACACGGCAAAATTGAAAATGTTGCAGGCTCGGTTTGATTGAGCCTGTTCATGGACGGTACTGGAAAGTGCAAGTTACCGTCCACGCCCCCTAGCACCGGCTTAAGCAGAATTCAACATTTAAACGTGAAATAGTAACATTTTGAATTTAGAAACATCCGCAGATGTGTTCATACGGCGGTTATCATGGAACCTTCAATGTGACACTTCCGTGCCATTCCATGCCTCATGCTTAACTTTTTAAATTCTCATAATTTCGATGAATGAATATTAAATACTGCTTAAGTTGGTACCAGGGGCAGTGCACTCAGTAAAACCGAGCCTTCAACATTTTTAATATTTCCGTTTAGGTATTTTGTTATTCACTATAATTCTTTACCAGGGAAACGAATTACAAAATTGATTGTGGTAAATGAATAAAAAAGAAGAAAATTTTACCTTGCTTGCAAAACAAGGGCAATAATAGCTGATAATTCTGCAACAGCAGCTGATCCTCCTTTAAATGATTTTATACATTTGTCGTTTAAAGTTGATGTCAGCTGAAAAATACATTTGTATGTTATAAATGCCGTTTAAGTTTCGTAAGGATTTGGAATACTAATACAGGTAAATTAGTCTACCTGTGTTGTTTAATATGTATTTTTTCTGATTGAAAAAACTCTTTTAATTTTAATTCATGTTTTTATTTGAGATTTTTTTGCCGCAACATGAGAATAAATCAGTTTGGGTCTTATGCAGGGTGTTACATTCATCACCTTCTTTCGTAGGAAATGTTTTTAACGAACGTTTTATATATAATAATTATGGAAATACCCAATGTGATCAATCTCAACTTACAATACCATAGGTGTAGATTCTATTTCCTTCCCCTAGGCCTGACGTCAATACGCTCGCACTAACTTGTGGACTCCTTGGTAGCTGTCCATTGAAACCGACATAATTTACAGTAATTGTATTTACACTGTTCGCCAATCCACTGCCAGAAATCTTTTCTGAACCGTCCGGAACGACATATATTGATCCAAGTTTTCCACGACCCTGAAGATAAGTTTTTTTGATCTTTATAGTATATTATTATAAGATGTAGTGTCATTTATAGAAATGATAAACGCTTTTGTTTTGTTTATGTCTTCTAACAAGCATAATTATATATATTATATTACTAATGATGTTAATTTGGCTCTTTGATTCTTTAATCATGAATTTAACATTTTTATGCCATCTTATAAAGGGCCTGTTAAGGATAACAAGGTATATAAAAAAATTATATACATTCATAACTCCTTCGTGAATAGCTTCGCGCATTGACAAGTCTAGTGGTTCAAACTTGTCTGTTGGGGACCAGCTATTGGAATAGATATGAATTTGTTGTGGCGCATGCGCAAGTCCAGCAGCAACAACATCCGAAGTAATGGAAATTCTAAAGTGATGATTTCTCTCCATGACTTCGAATACTTTCAAAGCTAGAATGTAGAGGTTAAAACGGCATTAAAGGATAATCTGATGTTGAGGAAAGTTATAAGACATAACGAAAAAGTTAATTTACATTTATGTGTTTCTCTTGATATTAATCTTTACATCACCAATTCAGAGAACAAGTAAATTCAAAGCATACTCAGCCGTTACGATGAATTTAAACGTAACAAAACTGTCATGCTAATTAAATCACACATTTGATGGCAATTATCATTATTTTCATGATAAGTACACTCTATATCTATTGGTTTGAAACTAAAATGTGTGTATTTTATGTATTGAAAGATGCTTTGAATAAAGTTATGTCACTCAAGGCCAATGAAACACAGAAACTAATAACTGAAGATTGTATAACTTGGTTTAACTTAATTTTGTTCATATATAGCGAAAATGGAAGATCCAATTACTGATGCCCTTAAGCTCGGTTTACCTGGTATTCAATCCTTAACAATAAAATTGTAAACACTGGCCTTGAAGGATCAGAAAAATATAACAACAACGAGATGTAAAACGGGAATAAATTATACACATTGAAAACAGTGATCCCCCAGAAGCTACTTTCGTATATCTACTAATTACTTTCAAAAGCAGGAAGTCAGTCATGTGAATAGCTTGAAAAAACCTGTCTGTATATAAACTTCTATATATGTTTGTTCCAGAGAGGAGCAAAAGGTTCTGACAGCAGGAGAGGAAATAAGGCAAGATGTTAATGTATCTATGAAGAAGCAGGGCAGTTGGTTGAAATTGAGAGAGATAAAGGCAAGACATGTGGAAGGAACTGGTAAACATGGACCAAAGCAGAAAACGTCTAGACTCAGTGTATGATGTTCTTTCAACTCTAACCAAAATGAGGACCTTTAAGTTAAGCGAGGGTTGTTTTTATCTAGATCACTTGAGGATTTTTACATAAAAATGTCATAAATAATGCATAATGTAACTTTATTTATTAATAAGTATTACTTCATTATCATAATTATATTGTCTCAAAAGCTCATATGCGTTTTACAAAGGACATTTTTGTCATAAAGCATTCAGCATTCTAGTTTGCTCTTTATTCACTTCACATATAATTTGTAGAGTTGCTTCGCCTTTTCTTGGTAAAAACATAACTATAAGGATAACATTAGGTTTTAGTTAAGATTATACGTGTTAATGAATTAAGTGAAGTATCCTCATAAAAACAAGAAACAAGGAATTCTTATTTATTTTATGTCAGGGAAGAAAACAACTTTGAAAGGCGGAACACATACGAACGACTTTTGCCTCGTACGCAATGCCATCACCACATCTTCCATTGCCTCTCTCAGCAGCAATAACGCTTGTACATCTGTTTCCATGGCTTGAAAATAAAATCTAAATTAAGAATCATTGCCCCCGTCTTAAATAATATGATTCAAAAGCAACTAAACGGGGTATTTACATGTAATATTAGAAGATTATAACTTCGATGCAGACCTCTTAAGACATAATTGCATGACTACATATAATGCCTAAATTATAAAATGTACAAACTATAATAAATTATTTAAGTGACATAATGCTCATTTCTTTTGCTGTCATGTAAAGCTGAATTGACTTTTTATTTTAAAAGAAGCATTATAATTGGACTAAAAAAATGATTAGAAAAAAATTATTTCGACTTTGCCTTGTGCATTCACTAATTACGCTTTGTCACTTTAATATAAATCAAATTGCAAATCAACCATTCTGCATGGTAAACGCCAAAGCCTGTAAAAGAATCAGAAGTTCTAACCTTTAAGAATCTCATTGTAGTAAGACATAAAGTTAACCCAAAGTCAATTAAAATAATTGTAAAAGAGATCTGCCAGTTTTCATATTTATAATATTTATAACGGTCGTAATATTATTGAAGATAAAGGAAAATGGTATATTTTCTAATGAAATCTATCGACAGCAAGTTAATGCATCATTTGTCTATTTTTCAAGAAGACACAGAAGCCAATTTTGGAAAAAATAAATTGAATTGTTTATTACTTTTTAGATACTTACTCAACAATGTAAAGCGATTCCGCTTGATAACTGTGAAAATGCTCTGGTACTACATTATGCGTGTTGTCAATGAAGTTTTTTGCAAGCACCATATTCTGTACACATGGCGGAAATGTAAAATTGTGTATTTAGATGCATGACATTTTATTGACTTATTTCAAGGTCACCTATCGGCCACCAAACCTATTCCTTCATTTAACAAACACGCTTACCAAATTAGTCTTAGAAATTCACCATTAAATAGATATCATAGAGATTTCTAGTCATATTTGATAACATTATCTTATTGCAAAATGATATATATCTTTTGGCATGCCGTTACATTTTTTAAGCTTTGTTGAAGGTAATAACAAAAGTATATTTCATTTTAAGATCTATAATGCAGAAAATTAAAAAGATATTTTTATTGAAAGTCATTCAAACATGTTCTTAAAAATAATATATTTACGATATTTCTTTTCAGATCAGTAAGGTTTGTGTTTACGCCGACATCAAGCACCGCTATATTGATTCCTTCACCAGTAGCACCATTTGACCATGCTCTTTCGACGTTCATCCCAAAAGCATTGTGTTTATTGCCCTGTGACATTACGTTATATTATCGACATATCTTTAATTTATTAATATATGTAACATTACTATATATGGGTGTAATGTTAATTATGTACTCAACGTAACATAAGCGTTCCTTCGTGTTGGTTAATGTATGAAAACAAAGATCAACAAGAAAGAACAGCATTAAATGAATGCAACGAAATCCTCCCTAAAGCAGCTTTTAATGCACAGAGAGAGAGAGAGAGAGAGAGAGAGAGAGAGAGAGAGAGAGTTTCCTGGCGTATATCATTATCTTGCCTAGAAAGCAACACAAGCACGCATGCATGCACGCGCACGCACGCACACAGGTCGAGAGAGCACCAGAGAGGGAGAGTGTGTGTGTGTATATATATGTGTGTGAGTGTGTGCACGGGCATGCGTGCATGCGTGCGTGCTTGTGTTCATTTCTAGGCAAGATAATGATATACGCCAGCAAAATGTACATGAAAAACTCGTTTGAATAGTTTTGAGTGATCATGGCTCGACTCCTTAGAAAATTGAGAATATTATAAATAGTGAACCTCAATTATATTATCAGTATCATGTCTTGAGTTCTCATTAGTATTTTCTATAACAGCTATTTCATTCCCTGAAGCCAGGTTCAATATTCAACAATGACGTTATATTTGCTGCTCACCTCTTTTGTAGTATCATAAGCTAATTCTGAATTGACATCATCACCAATAACATCTTGTTCATCCCCTTCGTGTTTTTCATCAGCGAGGATCCAATTTTTTCCGATAGTTAATACCTTAGCTTGCTCGATCTCAACTATCTGAATTAGAAATGTTAGTAGTAAAAAATCATGCAGGTATTATAGTATGCACAAAGTTTTATTCTACATGAGATTAAAGATATACTATCATATTTGAGTTAAAAATTTTAGTGGAGAAATTTATTGAAATCTATAAAATTCTTACTGAATATGTCTTATTTGAAAACTGTACAAACTATGTATTGTCGTCTGTATTCCCTATTACAGGTCAAGTAAAAATTGTCCTTTCCAAAAAAAAACTGCCAACATTTTTTATGACACTATATACATTTTTCATATTGTGGCCTCCTATTGTGTGTAGAGTTAAAAACATATGACGCTATTCGTTATCAGTTGAATAAGGAAGTATCTTTAATGTAAGTTATACTCTTACGTTATACTTGGATGTATAAGTTATTGCCTTTGTCGTTTTATTATAAAGTTTAACATTACATTTTTCCTCTTTGTGCGTTTACTTTTTATCAAATATGATATATTTTAATAAGATTTATGATTTATTTCATAAGAACAGATTTTTATTTATTGAATTTGAGAATGCTAAATGTTCATCAACATAATAATCCGTGTCAAATAGCATAATGACTAGTTTTAATAATTAACTTTGTCCAGTGTAACCGTCCGTTGTTTTTATTGCATTTAAACTTTACCCGAATCTCACATTTCTCAACCCAACAACAAAAAATACCTAAACGGAAAATACATTTAAATTTATATGAACATTATCAATTCATCTTAATAATTGATATTGAATTTGAATTTGAAATGCGACATAATATTTTACTCTTCAGTAATCGCATACATTTACGAAAATGGAAAATAATTATCGACGGAGCATTTTTGTATTTTATGCGAATCCAAAAGTAGAATATCTGCATATTCTGAATGGTAAACTACTCGCTGTTGTTCTCGGATTAAACGTTTGTGATGACAACTAATTTCACCTAATAATTATACCAGAACAATGAATAACGGTGTCAGGATCAGCCAATACGTCCGATAATTTTGAAATGAACGAAATGAAATTATGATACACCTGTTTCAATACAACAGCTTACGTTGGAAAATCCATCGTTATTAAACGCAAACGCAAATGAACTACATAGTAATATGACGCCTCTTCGCGCTGGTGAAAGGGCGAAGTTCTTACTGTTAGATGTTTAACTGCACCCGGTTACCTATTCTTCACTTGATGGATCCCTTCTGTAATGTAAACTAGAACAGTCAATACTTACTGCATCTGCAAGATCTCTCTTCACTTCTGTTAACACTTGTTCTGTCTTTATTCGACTTTCAAAACCGTCATATTTAAAACTAAATACGCTTGGAGTTATCTGAAATTTATTTAAAGTGATAATACAGGCCAAAATGAACACAAACGTAAAGCCATTTAATTACGGTTTGTGTTGTAAACATATAAGTTAAAACAAAATTGTACTTGAAAGAATGTAAAAGAAAATAGATACGGACGGATATAATTCCCGAAAGTATTTTATGGTGGAGAATGCTGCCCGTGAATTGCATATTAGGTTATAAAATTACGAAGAGATGAGAAAGAACAAATATAAGAATGCTAAAAATTTATTTATGCTTATTAACGAATTTTGATTCCTTCCAAACAATAGCTACATACAAAGAATCATGTCCGCTGATTTTAGAAGTGCAAAAATAAATGCGGTTCTATCGGCTCTTTACATAAATATTTTTTGAAGATGTTGGTTTATTTATGCCATTTTATTGTACACAATATGTTAGGACATAATTTTGTTTTTATTAAAGCTATTTTATTGGGTACGGTAGGAACAGTCCTAAAGATTAAGTACTCCACAATCGAAAATGTTTCTTCAACCATTGTTGAGAACAGTAACATACGAACAAAGTGTGGTACCTTATCACAAAAAATCAAATTAAATGTTTAAAATCTAACGGCCGATAAATTGTTTACTTGTTATTAGGTCGGCGTTTAAACGATACGCATTTTGTTTATCATTTTAACAAACATTATCGTGATTATAATGACAGATAGAACATAAAATAATTAATTTCGATTAAAAACTGTACAAGTTTATGTATGTCAACTTTAAGTTTCATTTAAGTTTTATTTAATCGTGTGTCAAACTTGATTATATTTCGTTCAAATACTGTTCTGCACATCTTATTGTTGAATAACGAACGTGTATATCCTGTTCAGTTTGGGTATTCTGATTACATCTTGAAAATATATTTTCCGTATTAAGATAAAACATTTCACCTGTTGACATAAAAGTTGTTTATCTAATATTTAAATTTAAGTACACTTATAATTGGTTCAATTTACATTGATATTCATACTGTTTAAATCAAGACAATAATGTTTATGAATTAAAACCATCGTTACTGTTTAAAGATAATATCTGCATATGAAAAGAATATGATTGTAAATCTAATAAAGAATCTGAAAGAAACTTACCTTCAGCATATCCGTAAAGTTGTACACACTCAGAAGTTTTTCGAATTCATGGAATCTAGATTTAATTTTAAATACAAATCTATTTGTTTCCCCATTAACTGACATGAACCAAAAGGAAAGAAAAAAACAAAAATGTCTGACAATCTTCATTACAGTAGAATACGTATTGTGCTATTGTACTCCTGTGTTCGTCGGTTATAACTCGTTTGTTATATGTTTTTGTTAGTATCCGACGACAATTACAACATTTAAGTACAAAAAGTTAAGTAACAAGATTTATATACATTTTTATTTCAAACACAGCATGATGAGATATGTTAAGTAAACAATGATATTGAACATTATTATCTACTTTGCGGCTTGCAAAAACGTATTTTATTTGCAGATGATATTAAATGTAATTTAACATGCGGGTTTTTATTTCAAGTTTTTAATCAGAATAAAAAAATTTATGAAAATAAATTAAATTTATTGCAGTATATGTTGTTAAATGTTTGAGCGCTTCGCACAAAATATGAATCTCTTTATAGCAATTAAAAGCACATAAAGCCGGAAGTTAGAACGTGTATGATGCTTACTAGTAAATAGCACGGACAGTTTCCAAAAAGGTGGTCGCAAAATGTTATATAAAGTGGTGTTTTGACTGCCGTACAAAACAATAAATCACTACAACTGTACTTATTCCTTATTAAAAAACAGGCAAAAGATGGCTTAGCTTGCAATTACCACTACCATTCATGAACAGGTTTAATCAAACTGAGTCTGCAACATTTTAATTTTTTACGTGTTGGTGGCTTTCTTTCGGGATTTTGTTTATCTCTATTTTAGCGAAAAGGACCAATGAGTCACGAAACAGTTTTAGACCACTTAATATACATAGTTTTTGAAAAATAATTATCGTATCCATCCTTTTAAGGCTTACCTGACCTTAAATTTTTGGTTGTAAAAGGAAACTGTTTAATTGTTATAAGTTATTTTCTGTATAACCAGAGGTAGTGGCTTTATTGGTGTATACATGTCACATACACAATTTCAATATGATTAAAGTAAATCGTCTGACATACATTACGTGAATATTTCTAAAGCTGATATTATAGGTTATATTAAAATAAAACAACTATTTTTTTTTAAAGATATAACAATATATAAAATGAATAAGGTTTTTATACACCCAAGATAACCCATAAAACCTAGACATGTAAACATAAACAGGTTTATTACCAACGCAGTCCCTGTCTTAAACTTACGAGGATCAAATAAGAAATTAATCAGATATTACTTTATATGATTTATTTATGGGCTAATATGACCTCCGAGGATAGATTCCGTTTTTACATGGTAACATCACGGTTTAGCTTCCCGCGTTCACAAGGTGCCTGACGTTAGTTATTCTGCTTCATGCAGTAACGGTAATCTCTCCTTCTTAACCTCTTAAAGCCTTAATAAAATCAATGTGTAAATTGAAATCGGTGTTTGCGGTTCAAAACTTTACATAGTGTTTGAGATGTCTTTCTTGCATGTGTCGCGTTAAGATCTTACCGTGACCAAATAAGAAGTCAATTCTGGAGGTCTTTCACAAAGCCAATAATCGGCGAGCTTTCATAATATTGAAAGTGATGCGGTTTCTTATTCTAATTTTGGAAAGCAATACTGAGCGATATCGAGAACAAACATGGCCTTGTCCATATAGCCAACAGGTAAACTGGCAAAACAATCTTGCCTATTAAAAATGACCTATCATTTCAAGTTAATTTGTAAAAAAATACATCACAAAAAAGTCAACATTTGTTAAACTTTCACGGATAACGGTATTTTAATATTTCGTCTAATGCCTATAGATGTGTAAAAACCGCTTTAATTGCACGGCTAAAAATAGCTTTCTCGGGAAATCCGACTTACAAAGAAAGCGAAACATATACGGTCGTCATCAAATCTACATTTTTTGCATTTGTTTTTATGAAAGAAATAAATAGATCTGAGCTTTAGTCAGATTGATGATTTAGTATGAGTGAAATTGGCATATATATTTACATAGATTGTATTGTGCTTTTACAGTCAGAACAACTAATTAAGAACTAGCTTAGTGAGCAGGACGAGTAAAGGAACTTTAAAAATTTGAAAATAAGCTTCATTCGGCATTAACATCGTCGGAAATGAAAAACAATAATGACTGCATGCATTGAGAATATCGTCAAAGCTTTATATTAACACATATTTTGAAAATATATTTGGATGAACCTTCTTATTACATGTGTTTATGTTACAGAATAATCAAAATAACGCTGGTTTTGGGATGAACGTTGCAACAGCTTGGTCTAATGGTGCTAATGGCGAAATAATATAGCAGTACTTGATGTTGGTGTTAACACAAATCTTTCAGATCTAACAAGGAATATAGTAAGTGTATTGTTTGCAACTTTCTATATGATTTGTGGCTAGTTTCCAATGATATTATCTTCTTTATTTTTCTTTATTGTAGAGATAGTGATGTAATGTTCTTTTCTATGACGTGTTACCTAATTGTAACAATTTAAAAAAATAGTTTTCCACAAGATATTTTATTTCGGATACATTTATTGAAATGTTTTGCTGAATAAAAACTAGAGAGCAACATTCAGACGAAACGTCAACCCCACTATAACAAAGAGAAAGAATGTAGAAAGTCAATTGATATCCATTTCTAAAGGCTATGTGCTTGGCCGTTTCGGCAAGTGCCTTTGTCTATTGAGGGGTTACGATTGCGTATGTATCAGTGATTTCAAAATAAATCAGTCATCTCTTTACATTTAATTTTATTTCTGTCATGTGGAAAGGATATGAAGCTAGCAAAAAACTTCGTTGACAACACACAGAATGTAGTACCAGAGTATTTTCACAGCTATCAAGCCGAGTCACCTTACTGTGTTGAGTAAGTTGATTACGTAGATAATTCGTATGCATATGCATGTCTTTATAAATAACTGTGAGATCTTCACGAATAAAGGACTAACGAATTAATTAAGCTATCGCTGTAAGATTGCAAACCAAAATAAGCATCTTCTGTACTCTTTTTTTTATTATTTTCGTGTGCGTATGTGATAATGCTTATAAAATGTTTTTGGTATGTTTCCATCTAAGAGGATTATGCACTATTATATCATTTTGTTTTCCACCCATGACTAAATAAATAGAAAGATCTTTCTGAAACTGAAAGCAACAATCCGGTTGTAAGTAGGATTATTTATTTCTTTCATTCTTTTAAATTTTACATTCAGTGTAAAACAGTTCTTCAGGGCCAGTAATGCTGAGACATTGGAATATGTATATATTAAATCATAGTAGTAGTGTCTAACTAAAGGAGTTTTAATATTTTTTTGTCTTTCTTTTTTGAAAAAGTCCTTAACGGCCCATTATGCCACATAAACACTTTTATTGTTATTTCCCTAAATCATTTATATTTCAGCTATACTTTTTTTGTTTCAAAAAATTTAATCATAGGCCAATTGTCGGAAATGGCCTTTTCTTTTTTGCTCTCTTGCAGTTAGTACTGTATGAGCGATCAAGTACTTTGTATTAAAGTCAAACTTCTATTTGTTTATGTTGCTAATTAAATGACTGATTATGTCAAATTTCACGTTACTTATTCAAGTAACAAGCATTTAACATACTCCAAAACCAGTTTGTAAATGCTATAAAATTTATTGCCCGTTCAAGAAAATAAGGAATTTATGTATTCGTTTCTGAGGCATAATGTCCCTTTAAAATATCTAATCGGAAATTTTGAATAATATGTTGTTTTTTTTAAAGTAATAAATATTTTCAAATGTGTACTTTCTAGCCATCGAAACAAATGCGCCAGCGTTATTGCTGCTGAAAGAGGAAATGGTATATGTGGTGATGGTATTGCATACGAGGCAAAAGTCGTTCGTATGTTTTTTTGTTCACACTTCTCTTATAATGACTGTTTTATAGTTTGGACACATTTCAATGGAAAATATATTGAAGGTAAATCGTATAACCGTAAATGCACAGTGCGTTAATTGGAGTGCAGAATTAGTCACCCACACTACAGTAACTGCATTGTCTTTCAGGGATAAAAAAGAACATGCTCGTTGATTTCACATTTCACTTATTAAGACGACAGGGAATGAGATAATGATAAAAAGTCACATCAATATGCTCATTAATTAGTAACATATTTTTTGTCTACATATCTGAGGACAGGGAAAACATTTTTTATTTTTGCCTATGATACAGAGCAGAAGACAATTTAAGACTCGGCAATTAGATTTATACTCGGGATGGGGAAGAAGTGTGGCTAAGGGCCCTCATACAAATTAGATAGCCTATTTTTTTATGCTCTTACTATTACTTATAATGTGTGTTCACATCCAACCAGTCAATAATTATCAAACTTAATACATTTAGCGACATAATTATGTACAGCATAATTACATAAATCTATACACGAATCCTATGATTGTATATCCCATACAATTTTTTATGTCTGATCGGCGTATACTGCGGATAACTGATGTACTTTAAAATTAAAACCGGTTTATGTTTCAGACTCTTACAACTGTCACAGTTGTTAACTTTTTATGATTGTTTGTCAAAATATATGTGTATTTCCCATGAAAAACAATTGTGTCGGTTTTATTTCTTCGTTGTAAAGAGCTGTACATGCTTTGTATTAACTGCCTTACTGTATTCATCATGTAAAGACTGAGCGCCGGATAAAGATCCGATCACTGGATGAAATAATTTGATGTGCTCAATGACTTAAGTTAATTTCAGAATATACTTTTATACATTTATAGTTTCTACATTTCAGCCTTAAAAGTATTCAAGGTGAAGGAAAGGAAACACCACTTCAGCATTTCTGTTTCATCAGACATCTTTGCCGCTGGACTTGCGCATGCGCCACAACAAATCCATATCTATTCAAATAGCTGGTCCCTAATAGACAAGTTTGAGCCACTCGACTTGTCAATGCGTGAAGCTATTCTTGAAGGGGTATCAAATGTAAGTAAATGATGCTGTTTTTGTTTGTTTTTTGTTTTGTTTTTTTAAATGATAGAGATCTTTTGATATAACTTTACAATAAAGGATTGAGAAAAGAACATATCGGGCATGATCGATATCGCATATTGCTTTTGATGATATTAAGAAAATATGAAATAACAATTTTAGAAGATTTTTTTATTATAAAACATGATTGATATGATATCAGTATATATACAAAGTTTATTAACAAGGAAAAACAAACAAATCATTTTTTTGTATTAATTATGATTCTAGATCTTGTAACAAAATGCTGCATTATTAGGCTGGTGATGTCAAGGTTACAATAAATAATAATAAGTCTAATCGAACAAAATATGAAAGAAAAATAAACGGATTGGAATGATTTCATTTCAAAGGGTCGTGACAAGCTAGGATCAATATACGTTGTTCCGGATGGTTCAGAATATATTTCTGGTAGTGGGCTGGCAAGTAGTATAAATACGATTACTGTAAATTATGTCGGTTTCAATGGGCGACTGCCAAGACGTCCACAAATAAGTGCTAGCGTTCTAACTTCAGGCCTTGGGGAAGGGAATAGGCTTGATACATCTTCTATTGTAAGTTGCGATTGCACCATCTGTATCATCAATCTGAAATACAATTTGTATGCAAGTAAGACACTTACACCCCTTGACATCTCGACCCGGTATTACATCAAGATGACTGCTAGACCAATTGACTCTTAGAACCCTTTTAAAATGGCTTTTCGACCCTAATTGGGTAAGACATTTCAACCCCTATTTCATTTGTTTTTTTTTTATTAAAAAAATATTAAAAAGATTAAGCAGCAAGTTAACAATGTTTTTAATTAATTTAATGTTTTGTTACATAACACTCGGTTATATTATATTTGTGGGTTTTCTTCGTTTTAGAAAGCACTTAATGCACTTAACAGTACCGTCCACGAACAGGCTCAATCAAACCGAAACTGCAACATTTTCACTTTTGCCGTTTTGGACTTTCTTTAGGGATTGTTATTTTCCATTTAATATGTTTTCACATATTATTTAATGTATAAATAGAAGTATATATAATTTTATCAACATTTTAATTCCGCATGAACTTAAATACACTTGCAACTGATAATAATGAGGAGATAAATGTTGACATAATTATTCCATTTGAAAATATTTTTGGAATGACATTTGAAATGTTACCGTAACGTTTTTAAGCATTGATTATTGCTTTATTTGATGTGGCATTTAACGAAGCTGCATTTACGTGAACATATTCATCAAATCAGAGGTTAGTATATTTAACTATTTATACTTAATTAACCATCATCCTTAGAAATATCCCATGTCTAGTAGCATTACGATGAAAAAATGCGTTTAGAAAATAATAAAAACAAATAAGAAGCAACATATTTCGCTTGAACCGGTTTTTAAAAAAAAACTTTATTTATCATACGTAGGCCAACTCTGACCATGCGAGACATTCAACATTTACTGGTTGAATCATCTTCTTCAAACGAACTCCCAGAATCAGTTTCCTTTACTACGAACGCAGCAGGAAAGTTATGTAAGCACCATGTATCCACATTATTTGTAAGAATTGCCCAAGTTTAATCCGTGCTATTGCAATTATAGTTATAGTATGCTCATCTTTGGGTAAAATACTTTTATTTCAGAAATTAAGCGAACTCTGGAATATTCTAACGGAATTTGTCCGTTTTAAATAAAGGAATGCACAATGTACATGCATGTTTGGGAAGCTGCATATCGTTCTTTCTTTCGAATATCAATTGATACTTTATTGATACTATGATCACCTATTATGTGTGGAGTTTAAAATGTTACATTTCTTTTTTCACATTAAAGATGATTAAAGAACAGTTACATTTTTGATATATTAATAATACGCTGAAAAAGTAAAATTAGATAAAGTAACTAGTCTAAGAGTATAAATCGTTTAATACGTAGTACCTGTATTTCTTGGATTGAATCTAAAAATCAAAAAGTTAACAATATTTTTCAAATTACAAGTTAATCCTGTTATCGGATTTGGATTAATTGACGCTTGGAAAATGGTAACTCTTGCTAAATCATGGAAATCGGTTGGAAAACTGTACAGTGAGAGATTACACAAGTTCCCAATAGAAATCTACGCTTGGAAACCCAGCAACCATTTTCGTTACGAAAGGTATCTTTAAATTTACGTCTGCCTTTGTTTAGGGGGACGATCAAATTTGAATATGATAGCATTGGGTTACCGTTAACGGTAATGCAAATTACTTAAGGTATTACCATCCTAATGCATTACCACTGCTTTGAAGAGTATTCAAATAGGCTAGACCTACTGTTGGGAAAACATTTTTCATTAGAATGTTATTGCAGATTATCTAAAGGTTCCTCATTTCTAAAAAAAAGGGCCCTCATAACATCCTAGCTTGAGTTCAGAAAAGTGGCCATAACTTGATTTCCGTACGGTAAACTTGTTTAAATCGTGCATAAGGTATATATCTGACCTATGATGTCAATTTTTTAGTTCCTTATAGTTTCCATTAGGGTTGCAATACCTTAATATGTTTTTGTTATATACTTCAGTATTTCAATGATAAATATTCATCTTGTTTGTACGTAATTTTCTACTGTTACACAGTAGCTTTCTTACTATTCAAGTTACGCTTGCAGAAGTTTTATAAAATAAAATATGCGGTTAAATTGTGTCACTGCAAGCATATCGGGAAGAGTATAAAAGCTACAATTTGAAGTTAAACTATGTCTGGAATATAGTTAAATTTTATTAAGATATAACAAAAAATTAGCAAATACCTTTTAAGTCGACCACAAGCAGTAATTTGTGTTCACACACCGTTCAATTTGTTGTTAAAAATTAAACAGACTCAAAAGGAAGTTTTATTCTAAGAGGGACTCAATTGGGGTTCTTTGAATTGACTGCCTGGAATAGATTTGTGTAAATATTCAGATCTTTCAGTCACTCCTTTTGTCCAGATTAGTCTATTTGTAAAAAAAAATAAAAAAAACTTTAATCAGACTAAAAATAGAGTTGATAATTATAAGAAATTAAAGTTTAATGTTTTCAGGCTTTGGACATCAGTTTAGTTCCTTGAAATACACTCGATTAAAATAACAATACCACTACAATAATTGATCTTCGTTTATGGAATATATAAACCAAATTATTGTTAATTTAGTTAATGACGTTATGTTAAAGTAAGTGTTCTTCAGGCATGATTAACCTTAGTTTATTATTACTCATGCTGTGTTGCCATGATAAGTTTTCCTCAGTAACGTTTTACTGTCGATGATAACAATTGATCTTCTGTTAAAGTAATTTATCTTAGTTTGTTTATACTTAGTGAGGTTTTGTTGTAATAATATATGTTTTGTTTATTGTTATTGATATTCAGTTGTCGTTACTTTGATTGTTTGTATCTAAATAGAATAATAGGTTTCTTTCATAACAGTTACAGGGTCACGTATACAAGCTTTTTCAAGTTGGACGAAGAAAGATGTGGTCCACAAGTCCATAAAGTAGAACACGTTATTTCGTTTATCAACTACTACATTATAACACAACGATCTTTAAAGTTAGAAATAGTTTCTCCTGGTGGGACACATTCTATGGTTGTTGATAACAGTGATGACCCAACATTCAGTACAGATCAGTCTGATAGAAATCTTACCAGTGTTCACTTTTGGGGCGAACGTAAAAATATTCTTAACCATAGGAACATGGAGAGTTGTGAGTCAACTTTCTCAACGAATAGGCAAGTAGCTTTCAAAATGCTTTTTCATAACTTTAATGCTTCAGTGAAATAACTTATCTTGAAAAGCTACTTATGTCTTAACATTTAATTTCGGAATAATTTTGAGCAAGTCAGTTAAGGTGCATTAATAAATCAACACATTTATCTGTATAATTGGGATGTTGTTTTCTAAATCCTCGCAGATATAAAAAAGTTTGAATCAGCATCGTTAATTGTGCTCGGTTCACACGATGACATTAAAATACAACAAAATTGTGGAGCACGAGAAACGCAAACGAATACAGTACATAAACCGCTTGAACCGACCAAACCAGCTACAAAGAAGTCAAACAAAAAGGGCAAAGGAAATGATGGAGCTCCCAGGTTTTTACGTTGTACAGTGGTTTGGATTGATATACTTATGGCAGCCTTAATCATTTGTTAAAATAAACACATATGTTTCATATTAATACTATAAGTATAATTGTTTTACCATTTTTTGAATTTTAATTAAAATTAATTTACTTTTTAATTTATTTATGATAATTGAATTTTAATTTTGTATTATAAATATATATAAGGAAATCGTTGAAACTTAAAGGCAGTGAATCGATTTGGTGTGGGTTGAAATTCTAAAAAAAAAGAGAAAATAATGCGGGAGGATTATAAGCAACGTACTTATTGGAGTAATTGTGATTGATAAACGAAAATAAAAAATTGTCTTCTTTCAATTCTTTACGACCAGTATTATCACTAACGATAAATCCACACACATTAAAAACCCCAGCAACATGAGAGACGAAAGAGCTCTTCGCAGCAAGATTTATAGCTTTTTCAAAACACATAATAATACGTTCATTGGGGTAGAGTTCTGTATGTTTATTGACCCATTTTGACTGGTCACTAACATTTGTTAATTTGTGTTAGTCAATGATATGAAACAAAAATCAATGGTGTATAATAATATTTAAAGAAATGATTTAAAATTAACATAAATAAAGTCGTTATGTATATTTTTGTTTGTAGAGACTTTTTAACTGTGAGACTTTGACAGTGTTATCAAACTAATATTGTGTTTTTTAACTATTATCATCGTGTAAAGTTATATAGTTCTGCCAGTTATGTAATGATGGAATTGTTTCTATAAGCAAAAATATAATTACGCGGGAAATACTATATTTGATTAAACTTCATCAATTCATTGACACGAACAGTTAGCAAAAGTTTTACTATTATTACTAATTTACATTAAAATGAAACACCAAAATGCATTTTTTGTATTCATTCTAAAACATTTGGACACTAAATTAATAGTCCGCGTCTGTATTAATTGGTTACTAGGATGATTACACAAATACTTATACACAAATGTACGATACCCAATATGTACAGTTCCTAAGAAAGGGGATGTTAATCTATACTCATACTTTAGACAAGCAGTCATGTTTTATTCTCCCTTTGATAAGACTTATATTTGCAAAATATGTGATACAATGAAGAAGAAAAATATACTACCCCCCCCCCCCAAAAAAAAAAAAAAAAAAAAGAAAATAAAACAACAACAAAAAACAAAACAAATATAGATAAATAAAGCACATCAACACATGCTAAGAAAGTACATCCGAATGACTACTTTAAATTTATCTGTTTAAGAACATTTTATGTATTATCTGTAAATCTTATCTTCTGGTGGTAACTGATTTAGCGTATTTGACCAGTTTACACGGTATCATCTGTAAACACTGTAAACTTTTTAGTCACAGCATGATTATCTTTTCAACTTTCAAATCATGACGAATGGATTTGATCAGAATGTTGAAAAGTCCAAGATAACATTGACTACATCAAAAATAAGCTAGCAAAAAAAAAAAACATCAACAAAAAATAAAACTGTACCAGTCTCTAAGCACAACAATAAACAACGAAAAAACAACAACACAAACTCACATAAGAACGTACAAAACAACAACAAACAAAACATTAACAAAAAAAACACGCGCGAAAAGCTATATAAAACAAAATAAACAACAACATAAAAATAAAACACGCACGCACGTTCGCACACATACACGCACGACAAAGAGACAGAAAAACACCTAAAATAAGAATAAGAAAATAGAGTTTCTGCCACTTTTAAGAAATAAATCCCTTACAGTATCAATAGAATATAATAATAAATCTTGCAATAGAAATATTGATTTACCTGCAATGAATGGCTTTATGTAAGGCTTGTGTCAAATTTGTCATATTATTCCGCGAGGACAAATAAATAACCTTGATTTTATTGTTTATTGGACGCATTCAGTCTAAGAATTAATACAAAATCAATCATTTGAATACGTTATCTAAATACCACTGCAATGAGAAGATATGTCATTGCTTAATTCAGAGAAAGATATGGATTGCTGCTTATTTACATCATCAACATCATCATCATCATCATCATCATCAAAAACAACAATATGACAACAACAACAACAGAAGCAACAGCAAGAGCAGCCAAAGAATCAGCCATAGTGACGACGACGACAGCAGCAGCAACAACAACAACAGCAAAACAAGTAGCAGCAACACCAACTGTTAAGCATTCTCATTTTTTTTTTAGAAAAAAACGTTATACATTGCTCTTTTTCTTTTTTTTGAAATATGTACCAGTTGTTGAATCGATTTCTTGCAGTCATCAGCTATGATATATAATACTCAAACATTGTTTCATTAGAGCCACAGAAATGTTAGCAAGAAAAACATCAGGGAGAGCAATGTGATGCCTTGCTACATTTATATATGCATATCAATCTTAGCTATTTGTATACAAATCATCGATAGGTCTTTTTATTTCTTCGTCATTTAGATACTTTTTTCTTGTTATTTGAAAATATCTTATATATTGCTTAATTCAGAGCAGAATGTTTTTTCTTGCCATTTTACGCGTGCTCCGATTGACCGGCCTAATGATATGATGACTGGAAGTGTCCATTCTAAAGACGCTAGAAAGTTTAACGTAAGTTTATAAAATGACGCGGACAACTTTAAAATCCGCGAGATTTTATTGTGAAATTGTATAAATGTCGCGGCAATTAGAATAAAAACTCTCGAGTTTTTTCTTAGACTTCTGTCGTAAAAGCCGAGTTTAACGAAGGAAACCGCGAAATTTTCTGTCTAAGTAGTAGGCTAAGCCACGCGCATACATATACCTACTTCAGGAAGAATCTAGCGGGTCTGTGGGTTGCCCTCGACATTTTATGATAAAACGATAAAATTACTCGCGGATTTGAAATGGCCGAAACCGGCCACAATATAATGCATCGCTTTGTGATATCATGTGACCAACATTGCGGTATGCTATAGACTGGTAACCTAGCCGTAAATCATTCTGGACATCAGACCTCGTCTATTTGTCTAATTAATAAAACATTTATGTAGTTGTCAAAATTATAAGTGTTTTCCAGACGTTGAGTGTTAACCACGACATTTGATACGCCAGTTTGATACTCATTTTAAAACAGTGTGGTAAATAATGAATATTGCTAATGTGTCCTCACAACTAGGTTTTATCTACCATAGGCCATTAAAGAGGTGTAAAGGGAAAATGTCACATTTAGATATCTAAAAGTCTAAATGCATTTACTGACTTTATAGTGGATTAGTCTACAGTGGTCATGATTTTTAAAGGCATTTCAAATATTGAAAAAAACAATAGAAGTATATCATTTGGATATTCCTATGAAATATTTCCTGAGAACTATATGTTGATAGAGTTCTAAAGTGATTGACTATGATAGATGCAAATATGATGAATAATAACATTTTGTTCTAGAACACTTTATTATCTGCTATATATTTATATTTCATATCGGATCATTTATTCAACACTTACTAATAACACCCTAACATATGCTATGCTGTACGAAGAAGTTTATTATATGCAAACGAGATAATCGCAGTGACGGTATAGATTTCGCTTCCTATTTCAGATAGGGTTTCTTATAATTAAACATCCGTTTTATAGTTCGTTTCCAGTGTTGATAACACAATTATGTCAAAGCTGCCAATAGCTTTCCTGACACTTTATTATGAATTATGTCTAGTGTCAGATATTAATAATACATAGTTCATTGTGATTGCTACATTATCTCATTATAATATTCCCTAAGAATCAGGTGCTGATAGACCATGTCTAGCTAATGACACTAAGGTTTTATAGAACAAAAAAATATATATATTAAAAAAAAGTGTGATTTTTTGTTAAAACCAAGAAAAAAGGATTTCTTTAAACTGAAAGCTTGGTTCAAAGTGTTCAGGCAAAGGAGTTCCTTACATCCTCATAGATAATGCGGATTCATTTCATTTTTTTCATGTGATATTTTAATTTCATCGCTTCCCAGGTATCTCACTTGTTTTTGACTTTCATATCTGCGTTAACGCACTGTAGGTTTTCTCACTCTTGTTTAACATTAATAGAAGTTCAGTTGGTACGATTGTAAGTAATCGTGTTCTAGTTTCTCGATAAATGCTTGCCAATGTTTTATTAGACAATTAGACGTGACATATTAATGGTGTATCGTAAGTACAATATGAAACATTATACACTACGTGCAAGATGTTTCTGATAAATTACGATCCTCTTGTTGGAGAAAGTGTGATATAACACCCCTTATTGTATCATAGTTTCTGAAATAGAGCACACTTTCGTTCCTTTTTTTACATTTAGCATATTTCTTACTGGAAAGAGTGGTGTTGTCCAAATTGATATGTTTCTTAGTGTATATGCATGAAATCATTTTTGGGTACAGCTGGCATCATCACAAGCGAATCACATTGTACCATTTGATGTGATTGCTCAGACAATAAGCGAAATATTGTCCAATAGAAATTTGATAAACTATATTGATTCTCTTTGAGATTCAATTTGTTAGTTAATTGACGATTGATTGTAGGTACCTAGTAAATATATGTAATAATTTTACATCAATTGCTTGAATTGTTAGTTCTCCTCACCTGAACACACGCTGAAGTAAAACTGTTCAAACATGTCTACTGTCATATTTATACTGTTATTGCGTTCAATATTTCAATTTCTGTTTTTTTGTGTATTTAACCATTTCAATGACGTACGTTTATTTTTATATTTCAAAGTAAACCATGAATGTATTTTATACTTTCTAACCTTGGCCAAACACAATCGTAATGGTTTCTACAATATTGTTTACATTCAAAGTATGTCAATTATAAGTACACACAAAACCAACAATAAATCCCCAATTGTGTTAAGTCATCGTATTTTAGTCATCCAAATTGTTTTGTTCTCATGCACGTATCTTTAAAAACAACTTCACTTGGAAAATTGATTGACTATCAAGTGACAAATCCAAAACATGAATATAATATTATGATAAGGTTTTATAACTCAAAGTTATATGTAAAGTGTTTGGCACAATATATTAA